TAGTTGAATTTTCTCCCTCTCTCTTCTAGTTCACTTAAAGATTCACTGTGTGAAAAACAAGTTTTTGAACACAGACCTACAGACATACAAACCAAGGGTGGCTGTGATACTGGCATGACTGCTCATTCTCCATTCCTTATATTTAGCACATGAGCTAGGAAAATAGTCCACCTATATAAATAATGAACAGAACAGTCTCTGCTAGCATAATAAACTGAAAAAACTAAATGAACCAATCTCTTCCCTAAGGCATAAGGGAAAAAAATAGGACACAAGAGTCAAATCTGCAGAACGTAAAGTGACTTGTTTTACATTTCCAGTCCATCCCCCTTGCTAGGTGCTCTTTTCCCAAGAAACTGCCTTCTCCCCAATTTATTTTCTATGTGTACCATCCATTACAAGTAAGTTTTGTCTTTCCTAAGCATTTATTCACCCCTTTCCTACTCATTCTTCAAACTTACCACTCTTTGCTTTCACCTTTTCTCTACCTTTTTACTCTTTTTGGTTTTTTAGCAGTGCAGAACAACTCCAATATCATGCCATAAAGAAGTATCTTCATAAACTCTGTCCAGGAAGAGATCCAGACTGCAGCACTAGTAACTGAAAAGGACTCAAACTGACAAGGATACACTTCTCCTGCCACTCCGTCATCAAAGCTTCAGTATGGATTTTGCCAATCTCAGATCATGTGGGTAAAACTTCACACTGTAAACTTGTTTTTCTCTCAGGCATTTGGTGTGTATTACATTCCCTAGCAGCTCTGTATTTTCACAGCTGATACACAACAGCATTTCTCCCAAATTAGAAATCAGAAAAAGCTTAACCTTGATAACGGGTTGGTATAGTGACTCTTAGGCAAGAATGAGCTATTTCAGACACAACCTTTGAAGGCCTCATACACATGACTCCATCAGAGTGAACAATTATTCCTATTTCTCAGTCATAACCCAAGCTAAATAGGGCTAATTTTGTTTTTTTTGAGTCTTAAATCATAAGCTGAATCCTGATTCAGGCCAGGATTGGCTATTGCTATGTTGTCAAAGTGCTATCTTTTATAAAATCACTCCTATGAACAAAAAATATAGTTTCCAAAGTCAGAACTGTCATTTTTTTTCTTATCAACACTCAGTTCAGGAGCTGGGGGCTTTGAACAAACAATATGATCTTGATTTCACTGCCATTATAATGCCTACTCATTATTTCAGATACAAGTAATAAGCCTACATACAACACAGAACAACAATTGAACAGAACACCACCCCAAACATGGTATCCTTTCTGTCTTGTGACCAGAAAATAATTTTAAAATTATACCAGTCAGGTCTAGGTAACTGGACACTTGCAATATGCTGAAAGGGACTTAAGGATGAAGACAAAATTTGTTTCTGCTGGCAAAAGTCTTGCATTAACCTGAAACACTAAAGAAGCTGCACACCAAAGTGCTAAAGGGTGAAGCAAGCAGCATTACCGACATCTGGATTAGCACAGAACTTTAAGGATCAAGTGTAAATGGCACTTTTATGGGTGAAAAGTAAGGAAGAGGACAGCTGTGAGAGAAAGTTCCAAGGAGGAAATGGGAGACAAGGATAGCAACAATACAGTGTAATATTTAGAAGGAAAAATACTTTTAAAAAATGATAATAATTTAGGATGTAAAATTTCTTGGTGCAAATATTGAAATATTGCAAGGGCTAGCTAAAAATAAGAGATGAAGGTAAGAATTGATGAAAAATATGGACAATGTGTGTCCTTAGAGAAAAAGAAAAACCTAACAGAACAGCATAAAAATCAGAATAACTGAAATAAATGTTGTTAAGGAAAAAAATGGAACCAAGCTGCCAGGCAAGGACTTGGTGAGGCCATTAAAGAACAAGAGTAGAAATTCAGTGACAGATGATGCTGATATATTGCTGACACCCTGAATGAATTTTTTGTCTCACAATCCACAAGAGAAGATGAAGGTCACAGAAGAAATGGTGGAATATATTTTCCAGTAAGGACGTGAAATATGAACATAACTTCAGATCACTTCAAGGTTAACAATTAGGAACTCAGCATAATTAAAACCTGACAAAGTCATAGGTACAAATGAGTGAGATCCCACAGAAAGCAACTCAGTATTCAAGAAAAAAGAAAAGCTGACAATTCTGAATAGGAGAGGATTACAATCAAGTTAATAGCATTTAAATACTTCCTTCCTTCAAATTAAAAATGAGTGTGGCCATAATTCTGAAGTGGGAAGAACTGGAAACTAACTAAAGCTGCATAACAGATTAAACAGACTTCAATAAAACAGTGATTTATATAGAAAATTAAGAGAAAAAAATAAAAAGAAAAAATTAAAGAAGAAGAAATTCAGAGATAAATAATAATAATGATAATCAAAATAATCTACAAATACCCACTTGGTTCTTCCTCTTCTTCCCTGAAACCCATCAAAGGTCACCAAGCAATCAGTCAGCTGTCACTAGGCAAACAGCCACATGATCCTTCCCCAGGAAATCACAAATCTGCACAGTTCTGCACAAAGTCACAAGTCAGTGAGGCTACCAGAGGGAGAGGAACAGGCATTCCAACACGCTCAAGAAAAATGTCAGAGGAACAGTGCTTTAAGCATCAAAATAATGCATTAGTAAAATCCAGCCTAAACAGGTAGCACAAGATCACTTAGCTCGAGAGGCTGATTTTGCTTTCACTGATTTTGCTTCTCTGAGACTTCAAGTTAGGGGGAAAAGGACATTTTATATGAACAGGACTCTAAAGAATGGGGTATAAAACAAACTTAAGAAAAGCAGTAAAGAGATTTTGTGCTCTGAGAATTCAGTATTTGGTATAGTAGTGGAGCTTGTAACAGTTCGACATCAGATCACTGTGAGCCATTGATATATACAAGGCAAAGGAAAAAGAAGTGATCAATGCCTAGCTCAAAGACTAGAAATATAGATGGAAAAGTGAGGGAAAGAATTAATTGGGAATAGATGCATTTACTTAAAAAAGTAGTCAGAAAATTCACATAGTCTAACAAGGAAGATGATGGGTTTGAAGACGAATCAGGCATTAATCAGATTAAGTACTTGAAGGAGGAAGAATTACTGTATTTTTTAAATTATGTATTCTTTAACATTCAAATATCAAAAAGTAGTTTCTCCTTGGCAGCTATTACTTTCACAGTGATGTGTTTTTTTTCCTAGGCTTTCAGTAGAAGGACCTCAAAAGAACAAGTTTCAGTAATATTGACAGGCAGCATAGACAAACATCAATGGCTGATGCTGAATTCAACACTTAAACGTATGTAAAGCACAGCATGGATGTTGGCAGAGACTACTGGTACAGTTGTTTTGAAACTTGTACACAAAGAGAATTAAAAAGTCTCTTTAATAACTGAATTTAGATTCCAAATTCAGATCTGGTATTCTTCAAAAACCCCTCAAACTTTTAACATGGCTTCTAATCAAGACACCTGTTAAGTATTGCAAAGGAAAATCTTAAAATGCTTGGTCTTGAAATTCTGCTTTATCTCCCTGACTTTAAGATGGCAGGCTTAGAAATTATCCACGTTCACAGGCTTGACACTTCCCACTTCTATGAAATTCTCATTAATTCAACAGCCACAACACTACAAAAAATATTTAACTGTCAGTTCTATCTCTCAGAATAATTAAGTTTTTGGTTTATTCAAATACAAGGAGTTATTTAAACCCTTCGGGAATTTAAGACTTCTGATGTAGAATTCTGTGACTATCTTATTGTCATTTCCTTCTCTCCCCTCTCAACCACGTTGAGTGCAGAGACTCCAGTGACTCAAGGAACAGAATGGGAAAAGGGATAAAGCAGAGAGCTTTGATGATACAGGAGGAACAAATGGAGCTTGGAGAACACTGTGGGGAGAAGCACAAAATGTCAGCAACAAAGCTAGTGAACACCTTTGAGGAAGAAATGTTGAGCAGAAGTCTTGATGTTTGCACTCTGTAGCCATCTTAATTTGAAAATTGTTTCCTTTTCTTGCCGGTTTTGTGCATCTTGTCATTCTTAATTTCTAAAGTGCTTTAGAAATAGTGTACATTGCAAATATTTTTAGCAAAAACTGTGCAGTTCCAAACTTCAAGAAAAAATATACATATATTAAGGTTCCTTCACCAATATCTTGCAAGATTTGTCTCATTTTAAAACAAACCATATTGACAACCACAAATTATATCACTTTGTTATCTGCTGAATCCACCATTCTTCTGGAAAGATAATTTGTGTAAAAGCCTAAAATTAACAACTGATCTTATATATCCCCCTTTTTGATATTGATATGTATCTTCTAGTCCTGCACAATTTCCCTGGTAACAATAAAATTAATCACAAATCTTCTCACCAACTACAACTCAGCTGAATTTTCCTTTATTTATCTCAGAGGTGGGGGGCCACACTGACTTTTGTCTCACATAAGCACCTGCTGTAAAAAGCACCTGCAACATTCTTCTCAGAGCTGCAGATCACTTGTGTTGCACACATCATTAGGTAGCAGAGCATGCACAGTTGTGCACAAACAACACCCCTTCAGACTCTTCTGTAGCTAGATGAATGCTGTGCCAAGGACCTCCTGCTTCTTTTAGGTGCAAATGGGTGCCCACCCTCCATGCAGGTATGCTATTTCAAAAAGCCTGAAAACACCTGCTAGAACAAGGCTGTATTGTCATACACACAGAGGTACATATAGAGGTGTAAAGAGGTACATATAGATGTGTATTTTTCCACTCGCATTTCATATACATGCAAAAATGTATCCATTTTTATTTGCATAAATGTGTGTATATAGATGTACAAATATGTCTCTGTGTGGGCATATAAACACACATACACACAACTTGTAGTAAAAAACTAGTTTAGGAAAAATTCTATTAATGCCTTGCATGGTCATTCAAACCCTAGCTCTTGCAAAATTATATCTATTTCACAACATATATATGAAAAATCATTATAGTGTTTTTTGAGAAGAAAAGAGCTCTTACCTGCTTCAGCACTGTCACAGTGCCAGGGGCCATGGTAACTACAGAAGCAACTGCAGTGGCATCTTGGGTTTCTGAACCCAGCTCAATGATTTGCTGCAGGATGTTGACAGCTGTTGGATCAAGCCTTTCACCTTATTGGAAAGACAGAAACCGTAAGATGATCACAGCAAAACAGCTCTGAGGAGATGCAAATCTAAGTGACACAGACACACTTTCCTCTCCTGCCTTAACCCTGATAAACAGTGCTGTGTGTAAATTTCAAATAGCTCAATAATACTACACTTTGATAACAGATCCATGGCAGGACAGTATTCACAAAACAAATTTGCCTGAGGTGTGCTCAGCTCAGCAAGTGAAGCCACAGTGATCATTTTAAGCCTCTTTGAAAGAGACCTAGAAGAATAAATTGAATAAACAAACAACAGACACAACTCAGAGCAGCAAGTGTAAATTAGGAAGCTGCAAGACTTTACAAATCCAAATGTGTATTTGCCAGACATTCAGCTTAATCAGACTCTGAACTCTACACCTATAACCACAACAGCTCTTTGGTGTATTACAAACCTGTGTTTACCATCTGCCTGGCCATCTGCAATACCCTTCAGCCTAGAAATACTGTTATCAGTAACGTGCTGAAGGGAAAACTTCATTGATTGAGAGAGCTCATGCTTATCATTTTACAAGCATGCATCAGAACATGTTAGCCCCTTTTTTTAAAGATCCTCTTATTGTGTGTAGCCCTGCCAAAAGAAAGGCAAGATTCATACACTGGAAAATGCTTTTTGTTGTGCAGGAATATGAGCTCCCCTCCTCTGGCCCACCACTCCCACACATCCAGTGTCAGCATGAGAGAGATGTCAGAAAGGGAAAGAAACTCTCAGAGTCATGCTAAAGCTGTCTTAGATTTGCTGTCATCTCTATTGGAACTAGGAAAGAGACATTAAATAGAATAAAACTCATCTCTTAATCCCAAACCCTTCCTAACTGATGTTGATACTGTGATGGGGATCTAGATGAGACAATTTAATTTCAAACAGAAAGCAGATATATTTTATGATCTACATAAGAAACAAGTTTTTCTAAATACTGAAAAAGGATTTATTTATTATATATAAAACCAAAATATCTTAACACCTTCTCTAGTCTCTGATGAAGTAACACACTCAGAAACCTGTTTGTTTTTTTTCTTTTCTTTCAGTTTTTGTTATTTCCCACTTAACAGAACAGCTTATTTTTTGTGTGTGCATAATTAGAATTAAGTTTGCTAGTACAGTCTTGGGAACATGGCAAGTGAGTTATCCCACTGTGTCACGTTTGTAGTCTGGCTGACTTAACATAGGCAGGAAATTCCACACACCAAACAACAGAGTGCAAAACAGACTGTCTAAGTATTAGTGACTTCAGGATATAGAAATTCATAAAGAATGGTAATTTCTTATTTTTTATCCTCAAAGAAAACTGTAAACCTACAGCAGTAAGTTCTGAATATCAATTTTGACCATCTCTAATAGTTGCAGAGGAGATTCTGTATTTATTAAAAAAAGATTTATTTTGTGTTCCAACCTAAAAAAAGTCACTTACCATTTTCAGAAGTATATCTAAGGTTCTGTAATGCAGCTACAGCAGCTTGAGTACCTTGAACATCTTCTTCAGCCTCTGTGATGTGGAGATACTGAGTGGAGGCTTCTTCAGAAACTTCAGCAGTTAACTGGAAAACAAAATCCAGCAAATGCATGCATAATCTCACTCTCATTCTAGCAATTTAGAGAATAATGAAAGATCTGAGATTAAGGGAATGAGATCTGGACAACAAATATTGCAATAAGAGTTATAAAAATACTGGGTGAAATATAATTCAAGAGGAAAGGCAGTAGGGATACCATCCCATAGTTTTCTTCTAGATTCTAATTCAAAAGTTGTTTTAATAATTCTAAATTATTTTTACTTCATTTTTTGTTGCACAGTTATTTTAAAACTAACAATAGACTTCTACTGTATCAGGGTCTAGTAAAGACCTTTTGGGCCATATTAGTTTATAATGCATGTCCTTGGAGATCTAGTAAAATGCTTCTGAAGTTTGAAAATCACATCTTGTTTTAGAAAAACTATCCTTTCCATAACTATATTTTTTCAAGACAAGCTGTCCATATGAATTCCTGCTCTGATGGGATTTCCTCATTTACAGTCATTCTGGCAGCAGGGACATGCTTGCATCCTGGACATCCTCTTATTTTTCAGGTTTGGGATCTACTGGAAGGGTGTACAGAGAATGGTTTGTGAAATGTTTGTGGATATAAGACTTTGAAGGACTACATTCTAAAATGCTTGTCCTCTCCTTTGAATAACTGTCCATATGGAACCATTTTTCAAGGACTTAGGATTTTATCTGTGGATACTCAAAACCCGTTAACCACGAACTGCAGGACGGCTCATCCAAATCAGGCATGAGATTTATAGTAGGGTTTAGATTGCCTGAAATTCAGCAGAACAGGTCATAAACTGTGGAGGTCAGCCAAATGCAGTTGACTTCTGGCTTTTTCCTATCACTAGACATCAACAGTAGCCTACTCAGGCAGTAGAAAAGACTCAGCTTGCCAACTGTAATGTTTTAAATAAAAGTGTCTAGGTAGTGCTGTGGTTTCCCCTGGCTTCTGCATCTACCGTCAGCTCTGCTCTGGAAGAGCAAGTTTTCATTTTAGCACAAACAATTGGTGTGCATATGACAGGAGAGAAAAGCTTGAAAAGGTAAGTCCTCTCAAGGTAGCTTCCCTACCCCACCCCAAACCAAGAAATTTTAGGTTGTTGTTTTTTTTTTCTAATTCTGCCTTCTTAGATCTAACTTAAATTTTTTAAGGTCTGATCTTCGTGATACTGTGATTTCCTATATACGTTGGATTGAAGGTGGAAACAGAAGAAATCATACATTGGCTTTCTGTAACAGTCCCATTTCTTTAGCTGCTCAATTTACACATTCAGTTTTCTAGATTAAAAAAGGTCCACCTTTTCTGGACCAAGATAAGTTATTTTCTTTAATTCAATGTAAATTTTAAGCTTTTCACATCTTTCAATTAACATCAGTGAATATTTGGCATGTAATAAAATGCAGTAATTTTTTTTATTTTAGTTTTTTTTGCTAAAAATTCCATCATTCCCCTCCCTGGATGTGTTCAAGGGCAGGTTGGATGGGGCTTTGAGCTACCTAGTCTAGTGGGAGGTGTCCCCGCCCATGCAGGGGGGTTGGATGATCTCTAAGGTCCCTTCCTATCCAAACCATTCTACGGCTCTAGGACTAGAGCCCTAAAATGTAGAAATAGGCACTTAAAAGGTTGTTAAATGTACCATATATTAAAGTAGTGAAGTTTAACAGTCATAGCAATGTACGCATTCAAAATTGAGATGAGATCACACGACCTCCTGATCTTATATAAAGTCAAGGGCATACTTTTGAATACTTCTTATCCTTACTTTTCTTTCAAGGATGTTTTAAAATATTAGGGCCAAAACCATGGCAACTTTGCTTTACCTCCCACTTGGTTTCCCCATCATGTTCCACTAGCTTCATTCCATGCTTGTTTTTAAGATGTCTGTTGAACTCCCACTTTGTACCATACACAAAGCTGCAAACAGGACACTTAATACCACCTGCAAGGCAACACAAATAAATTCCTTGAGTTATTTTCACATATGTTCTTTCTCAAGGCAGTAAGGGCCCATTTAATTTGACCCCTTCTCAGTCAAGCCACACAACTGTAATTTTAAATGGTTTCCTTTAGCCATATTTCAACATAAAAAAAAGGGGGGTGAGGAACTAAATTAGTTGAACTGCCAGGATGGATAAAGGCAATGGAAGGAGTCTGAAATAACTTATATATCTGGGCAGCTATAACAATGCTCCTTCCCTGCCTGCATGGCTCCCTTCGGTGGAG